AGATTCCACCAGGTGATGCTGCTGAACGTTGGTCTATAGGGTGCGTGCTTAGAAAGTGCTTAAATATGGCATTATATATGACAATTGCTCAAATTTGTCTACAGAAGTAAATTCGTGAGCATCACAAGAGAAACCAACCTCCCCCCCCCGCCCCAAATCTTTGCTGGAAATGGATGTTGTCAGGTGTAGCGCAAGCCTTTACAAACAGGAAGCAGCTGCCGTTCGAGCTGCGTGTAGATGCATCCGTGAAGAAGCTTCTTCAGCCGCTTCTATTAGGTAGTGTGGAAGACTGGTTTTCACAGTATGCCTCTGAATTTACATACTGGAATAAAACAGGTTTAAAAATAGCCATAGGTTTAGAAACATAAGGGAGACAACAAACCTCCGTCTTCATATTTACAGAGTCTTCCATTTAATTCAATCACTGGCAAATTTTATCCTCTGTTTAATTTGATCTAAACCTCTGTAACCACATCATCTGTAGTAAAAATAACATAACTTCCATCCTTTATTTTAATCAGTTCTGATCACTGCAAAGCAGCTCGTACTTGACAGTTTGGTCACAGGCAACAAAGCTGTTTTGATTAACAAGAAAGGCTTTACCTTTGGGCAACAGACAGTCCACAGAAAAAGTTAAAAGCTTTATAAATAAATAAATTTTCAATAAATTTGAGTTATTCACACAGTGTTATATCACAAATACTACTGAATACTACAGAGACCTGTGCTGGACACAGCGTTGCTATCGTGTGCACAACAAAATCAACTACATTCATCATCCAGCACAGTGGAAACGGACTCAGTCAAGATACTTGTGCAAGTAATAGACCAACCAACTTACGGAGGATTTTTGATTTAGGGAAGTGTAACGTCTTAAGAATTAGTTTTGTCCTGTCAGTTCTTTCCCTGCATCAATGTGACTGCACTTCTACTTCAGCTGCTTTTGCCCCCTGCCCAATGACTTGACATTGCCACAATGCTCCTTCCCCTCTGCTCCCTGCCCAGCCGCACCACCTTACAGCTGCCCTGCAACAGAACGCTTCTGATGCTCATCTTGAGAATCCGGCAGAAAATTAACTGAAGAATAGAAAAAAGGGGAGTGTGATGTTTTTGGGGTCTGGAGACATGGCAGGGGGCAGAACATGATTAAAGGATTAGAAAGGCAGGAATGGAAAAACTGAGGCAACAAAAGCCATGATCTACATCATTCCAATTGGTCACACGCCACAGAACGCTTCTCAGTTAGGGAGGTTAACTAACCAAAGCTTTGTACCTGGCGTGGTATCTGCCTATTTATCCAAGTTGTGAAAACTAAGTAAGTAGATATTTGCTGGGCCACAAGAAGAGATTAAGTCGAAGTCCAGCACAAACTGGGACATGGTTTGGACCTGGGTCTGCCACTTCCCTCAGAAGCGTCTCTTGGATTATCAGCCAGCCGCAGCACTAGAGGCTTCCTCCTGCTCATCACTTGCCATCACGAGATGGGGGAGGGATGCACACAATAAGGTCCTCACCAAAATGTAATTGTTTTGGCCAGACTTTGGGTTTGACACATCAGTGTTTTCTGAAAAATACTTTCTTGTGGAGTTCCTATGCAGCTCTAGCACCCTACGTATCGTGCAGAAAGAGCTTTCCTCAGTTGCACAGAGCCAACAGTAAAGAAACTTCCCTTGCAAGTCTCAGAAACGCTCAGAAGTGCAGTACAGCTGCTTTAGTCTGCAGTTTTCTACAAACTGCCAGGGACAAACATGCTATGAAGTTGTGCAGGTGGAGCTTAGCTGTCTATAAATAAGAGCACAGTTTGATCTTTGGCTCTGCTGAGGCTGGAGGGCTGCCAAATGTTTCTGGAAACTTGGATGGAACAGAACAAGAACAAATATGATAAAATGAGCTGAGGCTGACAATGATTTATAGAGTCAATGATCATTATTCTGTACTCACAGAGTTTGCACTTTTGGAGTAATGTTTCACTTTTCAATAAACTTTGCTTTTTCTTATCTGTAAGGCTCTATTCTCTGTCATTTAACAAGGATTGCTCATCAAAAAACCCCGAGCTGCAGCAGCTATGGCATTCACAGCACAGTGCAGCTGATGGAAAAAAACAAGGAGACTGAAAAAAATCTACGCAGAAAGAGAAGTGTTGGCACTGTACAACTTAACCATGGATGTGGGGAAGAACATAGGCGGAGAAAAAAGAGGTTAAAACAATATGAATACAAACTTACTAAACACAGGGCAGAGCACTTGAAGTATTTGTTCTGACAGTCGGTTCCCTAAACAAAACTCCTTTTAGGACAAGATAACTGTAAAACTTATCAGGAAGCTGCGTTCTAGGCTTTTTACGCATCCTCTTTTGCTCTACGACTTCAGGCAGTCTCCTTACCGCAAAGGTTCTTTGTTGGATTTCAGAACAAGCTTACGTTAATACAGGTTTATATGGCCCGGCCTACCCGTAATCTAGCTCTTGCAAAAAGGTTTACATAAGGAGAGAGCAAGCGCACATAATTCATTGGAATAACTTCCTGAAAGACTTCCAGAGAAACTAGAGCTTAAAAAAAAAAAGTCTCTCCAGCCATTGTCTGAATAATTAAAAAATGCTAAGAGACCACAGAAGTTTCACCCATTATTAATCAGTTCCATTTTACAGCACCATTGCAACTTTATTAGTAGCTTAACAAGACCACAAATTTTATTTACTTCTTCAAATACTTTACCAATTAACTAACTAGCTTAAAAAGAAATCATTCATTCAAAGGAAAAAAAAAAACAAACCAAAACTTTCCTCTTGTCACTTTTACGTGAGCAATGCTGTCTTGCACTGAATCAGATTTTTTTCATTTATATACCTGGTAAGTATACATGAAAAGTTGAATTTCTATCCCCATTTATTCCAATATGGTACATCAGAGAGAAGCAGCTTTTCCAACAGTGAAAGGTAAAAACCATAAGCGAGTCTGAAGTTCTTCTCTGATAAATATTTTATCATAACTAACTTCCAATCATCTGATTTTCTATTTTAGTGCACGCTGCAGCCTAATTACTGAGCTAGGAAATACAACATTTTTCCATCCTCACAAAACCAGACACGCCTAGTCAGCTTGCTAAAGAGGTACCGTCTTCTTACATGTTACATTTCACATAATTATGCTTAACAGAATAGATTTAACATCGGCGTGAAAATGCAAAATATTTTTAGGATGTAATCCAAGTAAACTCTTTCAGCATTTCTCCTAGGTACTGAAAATGCACGAGTTTCGCTTTTTTTCTTTACAGTCAAGTACTTGTGTGCTAGCTTAAGCTGCAAGTTCTGACAAACAAGGGGGTGTAATGCAGCAGCATTTGGATTCCAAATGCTGCCAGAAAACGCATCGTGTTAAATGCAATATTTAAGAATCTGTTTGCTTACAAGGTGTCAGCAAATTAAGAATCTATAATTTATTCCCAACTTCACATGATTTATTTCCGTTTACAACCCTACAGAAAACTGTTTAATAAGCACAGTTGCATTGTATCATATGCATAAAAATTAAGCCAGCAGAAACCTCACAGTTGCAGCAATTAAGCTCCAGAATGAACCACAAGAAGCACCTTTGCTTCACTAATTCTCACACAGATGATATCTCCCACAAATTCTGGAAAAACACGCAGAAATTAAAAAAAAAAAACCAAACCCAAAACCACCCATGGTCCATTTGAGTGTGAAGTGCTTTCCCAGCAGCACACCCTCTCTCTCAACTACAGCTTTTATGAAGAGGTGTCTTTCTCAGGTCAAAATTATTTTTTTTCCACTAATCAGACTGCAGAGCAATGTCTTTTAGTAGGCTAATAACAAAAGTAACATTTCAATCCAAAGACACATACACCAAAAACCTCAACCTCTGTCTGAAGGAAAGAATGACATGTTTACACGTTCCTTCCCTGCCTGCACTACAACCCCAACCCCAGAAAGATTAGCTACCAGCACGTGCTGAAACAGCAGCCACGTGAAGAATGTGCCTGCTAAGTTGTGTAAGTTGCTGAGACTTGCAGTGTACCAGCATGTTGAACTGTACGAGCCCAAATCCCTCAGCGATTCCAGGTCCGTAACTGTGAGGACACAATATTGCACTGCGTATTTACTGCATGCCCCAAATTCATCATGTCCATACATTACTTTGGGAGCTACATATACGATGGATGCACTGTTTTCAGTACAGTTTTGGAGCCTGACAATTTCTACATATTTTAAAGTAAATGTGGACGGCATGGCTAAATCCCAGCTTTCAGACAATCTATTTTTGGTCTGCTCTTTGTCAAAGATTCAAGAACTATGCCAGTAAAGACTTTCTAACATTCCGTATGAGGGGAAGAAGGGACTTAATCTCAACTCTGTTTAGGAGAAACACTGATATCCAACCTCCCATTAGCCAACTTGAGCTGACACTGGAAGCCTCCTCCAATACTAGCAGGAGAAAAAACAGGAACAATACTTTGTAGGCCTTTTACAGCTTGTCCTACTCCAATTACTGGATGTGGTCAGCCTTTTTGGGAGTGTAAATGAAAGTGAAATTTAGAGTCCAGAAGTTCTGCAGCTGTTCATTTACCCTATAGCAGCCTCTCAAAAAGAGTCACTTGCTCATCCTCCTCTCTTATTCTACTATTAGAAAGGTATTTTCCCCAGTCTAATAAAGTTTGGTGTATCAAACGAGGGCCCACTAACTCAGAACTGTGCAAAAATTTATCCTGTGCAGCAAATTAGTTGCCCCCTCTTCTTTCCCATAAAGATAACCTCTCTAGAAGAGGGGAAAAAAAAAAAAAAAAAAAAAAAAAAAAAAAAAAACAGGC